TGTAGATAAAGTCCTAAGAACCCTATCCAAGGTTCGATCATGTGGTGGTTGCTATTGAAGAGACCCGTGATATTGAAACTTTGGAAATTGAGGAGCTGCACCACTCATTAAAAGTCCACGAGTATCACATCAATGAGCGCAAACACTGCCAAGAACAAGCACTGCAAGTCAGATCTCAATACTAGGGAAAAGGGAGTTCAAGAAAGGCAATAAAGGCAGTAAGAAACATAAAGATTCACTTGAATAGCAAGTAGAAGATTCCAGTGAATCAGTGAAAGGCAAGAATCAAAAGTCTGATGGTGAATGAAAGTTTGACAAGAAGAAGGTCAAATGTTACAACTGCCAAAAATTTGGTCATTATGCCAAGGAGTGTTGAAAGGGAGAAGGAGCAAAAAATAAACCCAAAAAGAGGGCTAATCTGGCCTAAGAGGAAGAATCAGATTCTGAAGCAATGATGTTCATGGCCAGCATTGAGGAGGAACAACCAGAAAATACTATGTGGTATTTAGATTCTGGTTGTTCCGCCCATATGACTAAGAAGAAAGACTGGTTTGTGAGGATGCAAGGGGCTATACAGGAGAAAATCAAGTTTGCAGATGATAGGAGTTTAACTGCAGAAGGTTCTGGCATGGTTGTTTTGAGAGATGAAGATGGGAAAGAAGTGATATTTGAAAAGGTACGATATGTACCAAGCCTGAAAACAAACCTGCTCAGTTTGGGGCAGCTGCTACAGAAAAGGTATGTGATGAAAATGGAGAACAATTGTCTCAGCATTTTCGACTAGAATAAGAAGATTATTGTGCAGGCTCAGCTGTCACATAATAGAACTTTTAGGGTGGTGATGAAGGTAGTAAAACACCAGTATTTTACTGCATTAGAAAATAAAGGAGAATGACTGTGACATCTTAGATTTGGGCACCTAAGTTTTATAGATTTATTCCAGTTAAGCCAAAAGAACATGGTGAATGACTTACCTAAGGTTAGCATACCAGAAACAATATGCAAAGAATGTATCTAGTGGAAGCCAACCAGGGCTGTTTCTAGAAGTTCCTACCCCAAAAGTCAGCAGAGAAACTACGGGTGATCTATTCAGGTGTTTGTGGTCCTATACAAATAGAAACACCTGGGAGTAGTAGGTATTTTGCTGTTGTTTATTGATGATTGGACTAGGAAGAGTTGGAGTCACTTGATTAGGAGAAAGGGTGAGGTGTTGAAAGACAATGTGGGAAGAAGATTAAGGTGTTGAGAACAGATGGAGGAGGAGATTATACCTCCACCGAGTTTAAAGATTTATGTGAAAAGGAGGGGATAGTACATGAAGTTACCCATCCCTATACACCACAACACAATGGGGCAACAAAAAGGAAAAACAGAACAATATTAAATATGGTTAGGTGTATGCTGAAGAGTAAAGGGCTGCCAAATTTCCTAAGGGGAAAGGTTGTGCTGACAGCCACCTGTATTCTAAATCTGTCTCCAACAAAGAGACTGGATGACATCACACCTAAAGAAGCTTGGATTGGGGTAAAACCAAATGTTAAACCTTTGAAGATATTTGGTTTTATATGTTATAAACATGTGTTAGATCAGTTGAGGAAAAAGTTAGATAATAAAGGGGTGTCTCTAATTCTAGTGGGATATAATGCTACTAGAGGATACAAGTTGTATGATCGTACATCAGGAACAACTTCTATTAGTAGGGATGTTATGGTTGATGAGGCTGGAGTATGGCAGTGTGAATCAACTAAGCAGGGAGTATCAACCATTGTCTTGGAAGATGAAACTGCAGTAGTTGAGTCAGATATGTGCAGAAGAGATGACAATATTAGAAGGTCATCAAGGGTTACTCAACTGCCATCACATTTGAGAGATTATGACCTGTCTTATGATGCTACAATTACATCAGAAGGTAATTTTATCCACTATACTTTAATAGCAAAAGTTGAACAAGTTGAATTTGATTAGGCTGTGAGAGATGAGAGGTGGTATAAGGCAATGCAGGAAGAGATTAACTCAATCGAGAAAAATCAGACATGGGAATTGGTTGATTTACCTTCTAACAAGAAGCCTATAACATTAAAGTGGATTTATAACTCAAAAATAAACCCACAAGGTGTTGTTGTAAGGCACAAAGTCAGGCTGGTTGCTAAAGGTTTTCTACAGAAGGCTGGAGTGGATTATGGGAAAGTTTTTGCACCTATAGCCAGGGTTGAGACAATCAAGTTAGTGGTGTCTTTGGCAACTAAGTTTCATTGGTCATTACATCAATTAGATGTGAAATTTGCTTTCCAAAATGGGAAACTTGAGGAGGAGGTATATGTTGTTCAACCACATGGGTTTGAAGTTAAAGGGCAGTAAGGCAAGGTTTACAGGCTGAGAAAGACTCTCTATGGGCTTAAACAGACCCCCAAGAGTCTGGAACTAGAGAATTGATGGGTTCATGAACAATATTGGGTTTGATAAATGTGTTTCAAAACACATGTTATATGTGCAGTGCTGCCAACACAATGACAAACCAGAAAAGCTAATTGTATGCCTGTATGTTGATGACCTATCAGTCACTGGAAGTAGTGAGGAGCTAATTTTGAATTTCAAGGTCCAAATGTTGAAGGAATTTGAAATGAGTGACTTGGAAAGACTTAGCTATTTTCTTGGGATTGAATTCACTAAGACTGAGTGTGGAATTGTGATGCATCAGTCCAGGTATGTTCTAGACCTATTGAAAAGGTTTGAAATGGTAAATTACAATGCTGCTAACACCCCAACAAAAGTAGGATTAAGGCTGGAAAAGAAGCCAGAGGAGGAACCTGTAGATCCTACAACTTATAGGAGAATGGTTGGGAGCTTAAGGTACCTCTGTAACACTAGACTAGACTTGAGTTACAGTGTTGGAGTGATAAGCAGGTACACGAAATGTCCTAGAATATCACATTTAAATGCAGCTAAACATATTCTAAGGTATTTGAAGGGTACACACTCCTATGGGATATTTCTAGGAAGACGAAAGGCTGGAAAAGAAGTTCAAATCACTTCTTATTCTGATGCAGATTGATGTGGTGATAAAGTGGATAGAAGAAGTACTGTAGGGTACATTTTCTTTATTGAAGGGTCTCCTATTTCATAGAGCTTAAGAAAAGAGCGAGTGGTTGCTCTATCATCCTGTGAGGCAGAGTACATAGCTACCTATGAAGCTATGTGTCAGGCAGCTTGGTTGGGTTCTTTGATCGAAGGATTGAAGGTGGAGCTAACTGCAAGAGTCAGACTGCTTGTGAACAACAAGTCAGCCATAGATCTTGCCAAACATCCCACATCGCATGGGAGGAGTAAACATATCGAGACCAGGTTCCACTACATCAGGAAACAAGTCAACAACGAGAAGCTTGAAGTGGTACACTACAGATCCGAAGATCAACTTGCATATATACTCACAAAAGAACTTAAAGGTAAGCGCTTTCTATCACTCAGAAAGCATATCGAAGTCGTAAGAGCATAGATCGGTGAAGATCGCTCGAAAAGGTGTTCGAAAACCTAGGGTTTTTTATCGGGGAGAAGAGGCTTGCTCAGAAAAGGGGTCTTTCCTGGTTTTAATCGGTGAAAAACATTCATGTACTCAAAGAAAATGTTTTTTTTTCCAGTTTCAATCGGTTAAAAACGTTTAGATCGAAGAAGGAAGGAGTTTCACCGATTCAATCGGTGAAAGGAAATGTTTTATCTTCAAAAAAAGAGTTTTTGTTGAGATTAGGGTTTTTTGTTTAGGAGGAGTGTTTTTGTAAATAGAAAAACCAGATTCAGTTACTGTATTTTCATCTATAAGAGCTGTAAATCATACATATCAATATACAGAAAATCATTCAGTACCTTGTGTGTTGTTTGCCTTCCATTATTCTCTCTGTCTTTGCTTTCATCATCTTCATCTCAATTTTGCAGTGTGAAAGGAATGTTTCGTTTTCTCTCTAGAACCCTAAGTCGAGAGACTTCCTTTTTTCTCTGCCTTCTCTCTAAACCCCTCTGTTGCGTTTTATTTCTTTCTCTCTCAACACTTAATACATAATCCTGAAATGACTTCAAAAATCATGTTATGAATTACATAGTCTTAGAACCAATTTTTAATTTCAAAATATATAATTTGAAACACAATTTTAATTTCTCTTGATAGTGATTATTTTTACTTTTAGATCATACAATTTAAATCTTATCTGAAATTCATAGAATTCTAACTTAAAAACTTATTTAGGTGAGAATTAGTGACCTTCAAATTAAATAATCTACCTCTTAACACCTTCAAATTCATATAATGTGCCACAGTCTACCTCTTAACACCTTCACCTCCTTTGTGAGCTATCCACACCAAACTCTTTAAAAAAACCATGAATGGCATGCTTGCTTCATTGTCATATAATAAAAGAAGAGTAATGTAGGTATTTTAAATTTTATGTTAGCGGAAATAAAATTTATGGGAGTGCAAAAAGAAACATAATAAGTCAGGTCATAATAACTCATTGGTCCGACAAAAAATGTAACCAGCCTTTTACTTTTTCCTGTTACACATTTTCTTTTTGCACTTCTTCAATTACGGTGTATTACCCAACTAACTTTTAAAATCTTCTACTTTTCAAATAATCTAAAAGAAACACTTTTAGATTATGTATTCTGAAAAAAAAAATCTAAAATTTGTTGGAACATATAATTCAAATTTTTATATATTGTTAATAACACTTTTTTCAATAACTGCAAGAACGTTAAACACATCTTTGTTATTAAATAGCAAAAACGGGGTGATGAAAGAAAAAACAGCTGGTTGGAAAAGTAAAATAAATGTTTCAGCAACAACAGGGAGAGATATCAAAATCGTGGCGAAATCTTCTCAACATATGTGCCAAACCTCACCAATCCAATAAATTTAAAATTACTCTGAGCAACCAATGACACAAAATTTGTACAAATAATAGTGATAATAATAATAATAATAATAATTTTAGAACCTTATTTTCCAGTGCACTTTGTGGTTTGGAGAGAAGTCTTTCCCATATTCAATTGCTATCTAACAGTTAATGGAAATGGCTTCCTCATCCTTCATCTTAGGTACAGATTTGAAATGCGTACTCTCTTATAGGAACACTAAAACCATGTCTGGGTTTGGTGCACTGAGACACACTAACCCAAATGGTTTGTTCAGCAAATTTTTCCCCTTTCACACTCTATCCACTAGAATGGTAGCAAGGACTACAAATATGGTTTCTGATGTTTATGTTGGTGGAAACACAAGTAGCAGAGTCAATAGCAAGATGTACACCAAGTTGGACTCTTGTCTGGTGATACCACCTACACCGAATCGTGCCAAGCCTCGAGCTATAATCAAATTCCTGGGTGGTGCCTTCATTGGGGCTGTTCCTGAAGTTACTTACGGGTATTTTTTTTGTTACCCTTTTGTTTTTTCAATGCAAAGTTTGAGTCTTTATCATTGAAAGCTGGTTTTCTCATGTGGGTGGTGATATAGATGGTCTGATGAGCTTTTGGTGATATTGCAGGTACCTGATAGAGTTTTTGGCAAAGGAGGGTTTTTTGGTGGTGGTGGTGCCTTATAATGTGACATTTGACCATTCTCAAGCTGCTAAGCAAGTATATGAGAGGTTCCAAGCTTGTTTGAGTACTATCCTGACATCTGGGTTGCCTCAAGCCAATCTGTCTCCTGCTCAGCTTAAAGACCTTCCTCTTTTCTCTGTTGGCCATAGGTTGTTGGATTGTTTAGTGTTTTAATACTACAGTTTTCCTTTATAAACAAAATAATCAGTGCATTTTTTTTGTCTTAATTATAAGAAACACACAGTACCCATTCTTGAGATGTATTAATAGTTAAATTCTTTATTACCTTATTTGTTGTAAAGTTTACTAATGATACACTCGTGAATGTATTTATTGAACTGTTAATAATACAAGCCACACTCATGTGAGAAAATTATTTATTTTGAGCAATGTCACTAGATATAATTACCACTTAAACCATTTAATCCTATGAGCATTTTTGGAATAACATTTAAAATTATGATATTGTTAAGTAGAGAAAAGACAACCTAACTATTCATTTTGGTTAGTCTTAGTGATTAGTTATTTGTTTCTTATATTATATGGGGGGAATGATCTTTCTTACTATAATGAATGTCACGAAAGTAATATATTTCTTGTTTTTTGAAATCTGTAGCAATGGTGCACTTCTTCAACTACTCATAGGCAGCTTATTTTCAGAGAATATACCCAAGGTCTGGTTATTTTTCTTACTGCTGCAGCAAAAGACTGTATTTATACATGCACAAAATGATTTTGATACTATTTTAACTAATAGTGTACAAATTAAATTATTATAACACAGTTTTAGTTTGTGGAGGCATTATGTGGATTATGAAGTTTCATTACTTAAATATAACTTAGAGCAATTCAAGTAGTGTGACGAAAATGTATATATTTCTTGTGGAAGGCTAATGCTGTAATCTCATACAACAACAGGCCAGCAACTGAGGCAGTCCCAAACTTTGAACAGGTATTGACACTCATACTTGATGCAATCTATTACATCATTTATTCAAGAGTCTTTATAGGCTATTAATTTAATCTAATGTCTGTTTCTTCATTCTTGTGGTTATAATAAAGAAATATTTTTCTAAAAGCTGTGTTAAGTGTTTACCTTCCAACTAGAACTTTTGTTATGAAATTTAGAATTAAGTTTGATGGAGGATGCGCAAATTTTGAAGGATATATACACTGCTAATATGTTTTTTTGGAGAAATATTCGCTGTCTTGGCAGGATTCTTTGATATGTTTTGTATTTCACCTGGAGGATTTGTACCAAATGATTAAGGTTATGATAAAAACAAAAATGCTGGTTATGGATATGTTTGAAAGTAGAAACACACCTGAACCAGCTTAATATTCTTGTTCTGTTTCTATGCATTCTGCATAGCTGCAAAATAATTCTATAAATCTGTCTAATTAGATGGGAAGCAAATAAGTATAGGAGTACTTCCGTTTCCTTTTCTGATCACATTTGAAATAACAGGCTAGTAAGCTAAAGAAAACTAACATTTATACATATTGAGATAAGAATTATTGGCATACCATCAACGTACTGGCATTCGAAGATAAATTTAATCTGTCTATAACAGAAATGAAGATGCTCATGGAGGTGTTTGTTTCTCTCCTTATTCATATAATCCAGTATGGCATCAGAACCACTGAAATCAACATTGTTCATGAAATAATTTCGTATGTCCTTACAGAGATAAGATGCTCTTCAAAGGGGATAATATTATTTATATTCGTACTGAATTTCAGCTGATAGAGCATTTTTATAAGTTGTTCATCTCCATTGTGCTCTAAAACTTTGCAGTGCTGCCCTGCAGTTGGGTCCTGCAGTCAGCCAAATGATGCCAGTGATGGAGGCAGCTCCTTTTTATTCAATAGCTAGAAATGCATCAGGTATCTCCTCAGCTCGCTTCTGATGGTTTTGCTTTTGCATCAGCGTTTTGTGAAGCTGTAGATAATCTTACTCTTCCAATTGTCCAAAAATGACAGCATTACCATCATTACCTTCTTTGTTATATGTTACTGTCTAAGATTCTACGTATTCATTACATAATTCAATCTTACAAAACCGGTTAAGGACTATTCAAACTTTATAAAGCTTGTTTAAGTCATGTTTCTAGTTTATGTGAAATTAAACTATCATCCTCTAGGCTACCATTGAGTCCCCAAAGAGGTTGTATATAAGGTGGTCTAGGGGCATGACTGCAATTAAAGAGACTTTTCCAACAAGATGCAATGGGAGGGTTGTGTAGAATGATCCTCCTCAACACTTGCTTTGCTTTACTAGAAGTGAGGTGATTGAATAAGTAGAGAATTTTGAAAGTTAGATATGATGTAGTAACTTTTCTCTAAATCAAAGGGTCTTGGTCTAAAACCAAAATTGTTGTTGGCCCTCAAATAATATAACTCTGCCGTTACAATTGTTGCCCTACCACCTCAACACTCAGTTGTAATCCTTGGTGTGTTTAAAAATTAACTATATTAATTTTTTGTATCTATGATGATAATGCATGTCATCTGCAATCTATATAGGAGATGCATTGAAGATGGTGTTGGATGCTGTTAGATCAACTCTACCAGAATCTGAGCAGGAAAGACTGAATTCCTTAACTAAATTTGTTGATCAGTTGCCATCAGTAATGAATGAGGTACTTGTTAACTGTTGATTGATGATTATTTTATGCCATTTATTTCACTTACGTATGTGTTAATGGGAACACCTTGTAGGTGAAGCTTTTTTGTTGATTCCCATGTCTCCTGTTATTGTTTATGTACCAACCACACATCCTGCATAATCTTTTTCCTTGTTAATTTTTCATGTATTGGATGCATATATAATTTCTAAGGCAATGGATGAACTTTGTGATCATTGACTTTTAATAATGCTTAAATCTTAATTAACATGTTAATGAGTGCATATGTGTATATTTCTTGATGCATATATATCTCTCTGTCAGGTTTCGCAAGGAGTATCAGAGTTCAAGCCAACACCATCAGAAAACCGTGATTGCTTTAAATGTTCATACAATGTTGAAAACACACTATTGGTTTGTCCAATGCTGTATGCCTTATAACTTGTTCTTGAAAGATGGGTGGCATTGGTAAAATGTGTCTGATATTGTTTATCTGCCTCTCTAGGTGAAGTTCAATGTCGACGCAATTGATGAGACAGATATTCTTGAAAAAACACTAAAGCCTCGTGTGGAGTCATTGGGAGGGACATTAGAGAAAGTGACATTAAGTGGTAACCACATCACACCATGCATTCAGGTCAAACTTCTTTGCATCCTCCTTTTGTACCATACTTCTGTTCATCACAGTAAAGTATTCCTCTTTGCTGGAATACGCTTTCTTGAATTATCATGGCAGTGAAGTGACTCTGTTCACAAGCAAATTGCATTATATGGAATATAGTTTAACCATTCTAAAATCATTGCAGGAATAGCAGATTTTCTAATTAAGGATCAATTGGGACCTTTCTTTTTCTCAAACACTTTTAAGTGAGAAAACTAGGAAAATGAAATGAATTTTTTTATCAGTATTTAAGCCTAATTCATTCTTACTGGTTTGTAAAATATAGATTATTTCACTCATATACTTTATATACTGTAAATTGATTTTATATTTAATCGGTAAGTTATCTAAGATTTGATTTTTGATTGGGAGATCAGGAAGTGAAGTGGGAAGTGGGTAAATTGTATACTCCTGCAGATGCTGTTGCTCAAGGGCTTGCATCTCTTTCTTTGAATGATACCAAGATCCTTGCCAGAACTATTAGTGACTGGTTCAGACGCTATGAGGCTTGAAGTGAAAGGGTACACAATGCAAATATAATAATTTAATTTTATAATTTTTGCTATAAGCATCATTATGGTCTATGTTTTGGAATTTTTAACCTATGAAGTGTATATAATTTGTATGTTAAGATAAATGTTGGTAGTTTATATCATTTATTAGATTCATGTTTGTTTGCATATGCTTTTTTTAGAATTAAGATGTATCAAAACTTCACTTTTCTATGATTATAAAAAATAATAGTACTATTATTATTATTGTTATTATTATAATTATGAAATGAAATATAAATAGTTTTTATAACTTTATTGTAAACAGTTTTTATTTATTTTATTGATAGTTTAATAACTAAAAAAAGGTTAAATTTAAAAGAATTGTCAAAATGAAAGAAAAAAAAACTAAAAATGATAAAATAATCATTTTAATTTTAAAAAAAATTATTTAAAGAATGAATTTGGAAAACAAATACGAACACTCACAATTTTCTTTATATATATGGATAGATGAATTGGTTATTGCCCATGCATTAAGTAACTTCTCGGACATATATATAATGTGGTTACTTTATTTTTACAAGATTTATTTTTTAGATAAAATTATATTATTAAAATTTAAATAGTGAATCATTTGCTTAAAATACATAATTTGTTAAATTAATGTGGATAAGTCAATTTTAATTTACTGAATAAATATTTTTTTTCTTATTTAATGGAGAAGATTGTCCAAACATAGTATACACTTGAACAAGGACAAAAACAATATATACTATCGAAAAACCCACATAAATTAGTGCCCATATAAGTAAAATGTCTAGAAAATTCTTATGTGCAAGGTTAACTAATGGGCTAGTATTCTTTTAGAGTAAACATTTCTTTTCAAAATGAAATTCAAGAAAACATTTACTAAAAAATCTTTATACACATGATTTTTTCCCCAAATTCACAACATAATCTAATTTAAATTATTAACATTGGTAACATGACTCAACATAACTTAATTAGAAACCTCAGTATTACAAAAAACAACCTACACTTATACTAGGAGAAGAATCAGAAGCTTAACCATTGATATTATTTTCAATTTTTAAAGTAAAATGTAATTCATGATTAAATAACGGTACTTTTATATTTAGCTTATTAACAAATAAATATATTTATATTTATGTTTTCACTTATTGTATCGCGATAAAAATATACCTTAGTATATTCAATAATCGATATAGTGTGATACTAAATTAGCAAAGGAAACAAATGCTTTTTACCTAGATAAATTTATCGTGTTCACAATATTAATAGATTTGAAAGATAAACAGTTAATCGATATAAACTCTTTGAAACATTTACAGTAATAAAAAACTAATTTTTTCATGAATGAAAATTTAAAGAGAATTTCTCAAGTGCAAATTTCCTTTCCACCTTTCCAACTTTGATAGACGACTAAGGTGTTTACCAAAATAAAATTTAATATTAAGATTGCATTTTAGGCCACAAACATTAAAGTTTCACTAAGGATATATTATACATTTTGGATACACATATTCAAATAAAATTAAAAAAAATTAAAATGACATTATTTGAAATAGAAAATTTATTGTAGTGTATTTATTAGTATGTTATCTTAAAATTAATCTGGATTGTAATCATCAAAATTAATAACAATCAAATTGATACCTTAATATATATTCTTTAAAGACTGTGTAAGTCATGTTTATGATCAAAGAAATGAATACAATGATGTAAATTTTGTATTAGTTTATACATAACAGACACAACATTGATCATACAAATCACAAAAGCATAAACAAAATCATTGTTTGGTTTGAACTAAAAATCATGATATTTTACATTTCTGAGGTAATTTTTTAATAAACTCACAAAAATATAAATAAATTATATTTTCAGAAAATGAAACTTTAAAAATATTATATATTTATGATTTAATTTTTTTACTGAAACTTTCTTTAATTTCAATTGGTTAAACCCACTCTAATAATGAGTCTAACTTACTTTTAAGAATGATTTGTTTGGAATTAATCCATGGATCAATGCTGCATTTGACACATCTACTACAATTATCTTTTTAAATAATTATGTTATAGTAATCCCCCCTCATAGTTTTTGGTGTGTACTACTAAACCAGAATTGAAATAAATACTTAAAATTCACCCATTATATATTGAAGTTAAAAATATATTAGCTACGAAATTAGAAAGATTTAGAGTTATAATTAGTAAAGTTAATATAATGTAATTGGAATTGTGGAAAGTTACATGCATAATGTATGATCGATGCAGTCACTGTTTAGAAAATTTTGCTTTTAAGAGTCTGCAGAACTCTAAAGTGGTAGGTACAGTAGTAGACTTGTTGCAGTTGGAATACACTGTCATTAAGGAGTTATTAGCTTTAAATAACACCAATATATAACAAATGCTTGTTTATAAATTGAATAACACTATTTTAAACTGTAAAAAATAATTGTATTGATGCTTCAGTTTTGTTTATAAAATAAAAGTAAATTAAGTCAAATTTATAAGGAAGACATGTTGCGGATTTCAAGCATTATTAACCAGAATGTTTTTAAACTGATACAAAGTTTAAGAATTCACTAATTTTGCATAAAAAACAAATAAGATTGGAATCAAAGCCTGAATACTCAAAACTGTGGGCAGAAGAAATTAGTATTTTCTTCGTTTACCCGAGAAGAAGACAATAATACAATAGTTACAATGGAAAATATATTACATCGATATAAACAATGGATTCGGTCATGCATGGACCAACTTAGATAAAAATCTCAGGTTTTCTTCTGATCTTTTACAATGAAGACAGAAAAAAAAGATAGAATCACCACCATCTGTCAAAAGGTTGCCATGCATTTGCAAAAAAAAAACTAGGAAAATGAGCTTGAAATAAGTGAACCTAAAGAAAACTCGTAAGTCTCAACAATTAATAGAATGAAACCAAACGAGTCTGAGTCGTGTAAGAATTGTATATTTAATTCCCACTTTTTGGAATTTTGTGACCTTCATATTTGGTCCAGCTTATTCTGCCATTGTTGGGGTGATTTGGTTTTTGCTTAAAGTTCAAAAAACACACTGCCCTCAATTATGTGCTACAAACAATTAACTCTCATTTTCATGCATGTGTATACTAACCATATTGTAAACACCAATACACAAATTTATCTATGTTGATGTAATAAAAGAGAAAAAGAAAGGTATATTATAATTGCATGCATTTCATGAATGTTTCTGTAAAAGGTAAGAGAAGATTTTAAGATGAAAAGTTGTGAAGTGATGGAAAGTATGTGAGTGTTGCATGTATGAAATTTGTTGAGAAACATTTTTGCAGTGAATGCCCACTTTCTTTTACTTGCCTCTATGAAAGGTAGCAATATTCTGAGCAAGATTAGGACCCTTTGACATGAGAAAAGTTGGTAGTGATGATGACAGATTAAAATAATTAAACAAAATTGGTCCCCTCAAGTAGGTTATCAATCTTATATTAAATATTAAAACAAATATTAATTAACACCGTTTAACTAATATCAATATTAAAGAATCGAAATTTATAATTTATAGTAAGGTGAATGAAGCATAGAATCAAAATAAGTCAACCCATGTCACCATAAATACTGTCATTCAAGGATCAAAGAGAAATCTGCAACGTCTCTGAGGATGGACAGGGAAATGCTGTGAAAATAAATGGTGGAAGTTCTGGTTTTTCCATGCATGAATCTATGTATTATAAGCAGTAGTGGTTTTTCTATTTTATTTATTTATTCTTCTATTTTCATTTTTTTTTTCAATTTTATCTCAGTGCTGCATTTTACTATATTTTAAATGTTAAGTTTTATTATTATAAAAGTATGTAGAACTTAAGAAATATAAGTCAGTGTTTGGAAATTAGATGCTAAGTTTTATTATTTTTGTATTTTTTATAATATCACTCATCCTAATTACTATATGACATTTATAGGCTACAACGTAATTTTAATATTTCTATTTGTTTCGATTCATATTTTTGGTCTCTATTTTAAAGTATAGACATTTAGTTACCAATTTATAAAATTACTATTTTACTTTAATTATTTAAATCAAGATTATGCCATGTTTCAATAATTTATCCATAAAGTAAACAAAAATTAAAGTTAGTTTCTCATAAAGATAAAATTATTTTATATTCAATTCAATTCAAGTTATAGAATTATATACTTTCTTTAATTTTTTATTTATAATTTACGTATAAAATAATATTTTAGTTTATGAATATTTTGTTATTGATTGAAAAATTCGTCCAGTACTAAACTTTTAATGTTAACTTACACATAATATTAGGACCTATATTCTTTTACCATCTTAATATCACATTAATCGAAATAAGTAATTATTTGTAGGTTTTTTTATACGATATGAAAACTTCAATAATTATGAATAAAATATTATTTGTGTCTATATTTCAAAAAAATGTTTGTTTATCTGTTAAGGTAATAATGAATATTTTAATTGAAACACTATTTATTAAATATTGAATAACTGAATATTTTTTTATTTAAAAATAAGAAGACGAAAGTTACGAATTATGTAAATGGTGAAAAGCTATATTTTACTTTTTTTTGTGTGTGTGTATTTTTTAAATGAATTTATTATATTGAATTTGTGTAAGAACGTGTTATCTCGAAATTTTTGCACGAATCAGAAACTGAATTATCGGAAAGTACACTTTCGAATCTTCACTCATGTGTATGGTGAAATAGTACGTTTTCACAAAATTATTAATAAAGGACAATGTGTGTTTGAATAGCTACGTATGCCATCAGTCTAAGTAATCCATACAAAATATAAGATTTTAAAAGTCATTGCAATTTCCGTCACTATAGTATCCTCCGTTGCTCCATTCATATATATATATCTCTTCTCATTTTATACAAAACAAATATACGAGAAATAAAACTGATGAAAATACAAAAATAAATAACATAAATAAAAATAAATAATAAAAGAGTAACAACCATAAAGTATTTTGCCAAAATAAAAAAATGTCTAAAAAATAACATAAAAGCTCTACGTTGTCCAACCCTTTATAGTAATATTTGAAAACTTGAAGGAGATTTAGGACATTTCTACTTTACTATCAACTTATATATCAAGGACTATGTATCTATTATTGGAGAAAATCCATGATTCCACCAACCTATCCTCCCCTTTCTAAAATCTATTCACACCCAAGTTCATACAAAACACTATAGAAGTAAGGTACATAGTTTCTAAAGCAATAAAACAAAATAGAAATTCAACAAGACCCTCCTCCTCCTCTTTCACTCCCTCCTCTATCTCCATCTCTTCCTCCTCAACTCTCTTTTTCTTACAACCTACTGAAAAAAATGGACAACTCAAAACAAACACACACCACCATGAGCACTAAAGCTCCAAGTTGTGCTGATGCTGAGGGTCATGTTTCTGCAAATCAAAATTTTGGACAACATAGACAACAACAACAACTGGGGAAACAAGTTAGAAGAAGGCTTACTAACAGACCTTATCAAGAAAGGCTAATGAATATGGCAGAGGCAAGGAAGGAGATTGCCACTGCCTTGAAATACCATAGGGCTACTACGAAACTGGCTACTGAGCATCAACGACAACTGCAACACCATCATCAACAACATCAATCGTTGTTCTTTCAACTTCCCTTTTATTCAAGGTTTAGCCCAGATGGAAGATTCAAGGCTAGGAGAAGGCCTATGATGTATCCACCAATCTCAAACAAAATATCACAATACTTAAATGATTTTTCATTCTCCTTGTCCTTCCCACCCCTTCCTTCTCTTCCTCTTCATTCCCCTCCTCTTCATCTTCCTCTTCCTCCTCCTTCATCTCCAATTCAAAATTTTTATCCCCACACCTTAACTTCCCCATTTTCTCCTCCACCCCTTAAGCCAGAACCTCCCAATTTCACACTTCCAAGTCAGACATTGGGTTTCAACAGTTTAGAACCTACCCTTTTGCTTAATAACAACACCTTTGATCCTCCCTTTTATCTTGAAAATAACACTTTAGATCCTTCCCTTTTGCTTGATAATAACACTTCAAATACTAGCTTTTTGCTTGATAACAACAACACTTTAGATCCTACCCTTTTGTTTGATAACAATATTTTAGATGATACCCATGTGCTTAATAATAACATTTTAGATGGTACCCCCGTGCTTAATAACAATATTTTAGATGGTACCCCTGTGTTTAACTACAACAACAATTTGGAACCTATCCCTTTGTCTAGCAACAATGTCTCATCATTATGCTCTTACTCAACTCCAACATTAACTTCTCCTCCATTTCTAACTCAACAAGATGTTCCTTTAATTAGAATATCGCAGTCACAAGGAGAAATGGTTTCCACAACGATGAATATCATTGAATCTAGTACTACAAATCAAGCTAGTGGAAGCATGCATGTAAGCATGGATGAAGAGGGCATGAAAGAGATCAGAGCATTGGGACAACAACATCAGATGGAATGGGATGACACTACGAGTATGATCACTTCAGCTCGGTGGTACGATTACTTGCAACAAATGGAAAATAGTGCAACCGCAGTCAACAATGGAGATGATACATGTCATGGGATCTTTGATGATCAACTTGAATTTCCTATATGGAAAAATTAATGCTTGTTAAGACAAGTTTACAACATTGGGCTCCGTGAATTTAGTCAAAATGTCACTTTACTTTGGTAAGTTTTATATAACAAGTTTCGTTGTTTCTGAAATAGAAATGTTTTTATGAGTAGAAAAAGTCAATAAAGATCAAAAGTGAACTCATACTATCAATGACATTGTCATTGAATTAGTTTGTGGACAATTATCATAGGGAGAAAAACTTTGCTATGTCTCCGAGATGGATAGAAAAAAAATATGCAGTACTAAAAACTAGTAGAAGTACTTGCAAAGTTTTCCTTTTACGTGTGTGAGGTTGCATTTTTAGTTATTGTTATAAAGATATTATATAACATGCATATTAATTTATTTTGTTTCAGCACGTTGTTTTTATATTTCAAAAAAATAAAACTTTAAAAATATTATATATTTATGATTTAGTTTTTTTACTGAAACATTATTTTATTTTTAATTGGTTAAACCCATTTTAATAATGAATTTAACTTATTTTTAAGAATGTTTTGTTTGGAATTAATCCATGGATCAATGCTACATTTCATACATCTACCTCAACTATTTTCTTAAATAATTATGTGATAGTCCCTAATAGCTTTTTGTATGTACCAGTAATCCAGAATTGGAATAAATACTTAAAATTCACCCTTAACTATAAAGTAGTAGTAGACACAGTAATAGACTTCTATGCAGTTGGAATACTCGGCCACTAAAGATTTATTAGTCTTTAAATAACACCAATATAAAAAAATGCGTGTTTATAAATAGAATAACTTATTTTAAACTATAAAAAAATTATTGAAAATTAAATAAAACTAATTAATAAGTTTGACTTTACTTTACTCTGCAACATAAATTGTCTGCTCTAGCTTTGTTTATAAAATAAAACAATAAATTAAGCTAAATTAATGAGCAAGACATGATGGATGGACCAACTGAGATAAAAATCTCAGATTTCTTGCAATGAAGACAGAAGAAGATAAACTCACCACCATTTGTCAAAAGTTGGCATGCATGGCAGCCGGTGCTCTCATGCATCTGCAAAAAAAACCCTAGGAAAATGAGCTTGAAATAAGTGAACCCTAATAAGTCTCAACAATTAATAGAATGAAACCAAGGAAGTCTGAGTCATGTAAGTATTGTGCATTTAATTCTCACTTTGGAATTTTGCAACGTTCTTAGTTGGTCCCGCTTATTCTGCAATTGTTGGGATGATTTGGTTTTTGCTAAAAGTTCAACCCGCACCGCCCTCGTTAACTCTCATTTCGATGCATGTGTATACTAACCATTTGTAAACATTAATACACAAATTGATCCGTTTATACGTAGCAAAAGAGAAAAAGAAAGGTATCAATTGCATGCATTTCGTGAATGATGAATTAGAAGAGTGTGGTGTGGTTAGGTAGGAGGTAAGGTGATGGAAGTATGTGAGTGTTGCATATATGAATTTGTTGAGAAACACTTTTGCAGTGATGCCCACTTTCTTTTAACAATATTCTGAGCAAGATTGGGACCCTTTTGGGGTATGAAAAGTTGGCAGTGATGATGACAGATTAAAACAAATTAAACAAAATTGGTCCCTCAAGTTGGCCTTATAGGAAAGAGGGACCTCACAGCAGGTGGCAATATATCTGAACAACATTGGGATTCTTTGAGGTGGGAAAAGTTGGTAGTGAACAATGAAATAAAACTGGTCCCCTCAAATGTGTTCTCAATCTTATATTGAATATTATTAAAACAATTATAATTAATATTACAGCATCAAAATTCAAAATAAGTCAACCCGTATATCCATAAATACTGTCATTCAAGGATCAAAGAGAGTCTGCAAGATCTCTTGGGATGGACAGAGAAATGCTGTGAGAATAAATGGTCGAAGTTCTGGGTTTTCCCTTCTGTGTGCATGCATCCATCAATACTAATATAAGCCGTAGTTGTTTTACTATTTTGTGTGAGAAAGGAGATTGGTGTCTTTCTGTTAGAAAATTTTCTTTTAATTATACTTTTATTTTATTTTATTTTTCAATTTTATCCCAGTTCTTCATTTTTTTACTATTTTTTAAATGCTAAGTTTTGTTGTTATGAAAGTATGTACAACTTAAGAAACATATTGGACATTAGATGATAACAAAAATAAACAAATTAGTGAATTGAAGTAAAATATCTCCTCCTCTTTCGTAAATATTGTTAGTGTAGATCACTATTTCTAATCAATAGATGATAAAGAAATGTTATTATGCATTTGCCAATTAATACCACCAAACAACTTTATAAAGCATACATTTTCCTCTTCTAAATGTCAAAATACTTCTTGTATTTAAATTGAAAGCTAATTATTTATTTAATTATTGTTGTGAAACTGAGAAATTAATAATCAATTACTCACATGTCAATTTAGCTCAGTGAGAAAAAGATAGGTGTACTAGATCTAAAACAATGTCTTCATAGATACGAGTTGTATATACATAAACTTTTAACGAAATTCTTTGTCAAGAAAAAAAAATTCTCAGTAGACCAAATTTAGTGCAATAGCTTTCACTGTATAAAATTACAATTTTGTACAAAAATTATAACAATAACTTATAAATTTTTCCTTCCAAAAAGTATTATTGACTGTGACAAAAAATATATTATATTTACACTTCCAATGTTCAATAATAATTAAAGTTATGATAATGTCATGATGTCGTTTACAAATTTAAATAATTGATGTTATTAATGATCTCATGATTTAAATTGATTTACTAATATTGAATATAATGTATATAGATTAAGTTATTTTGGTCTTGAGATGATATTTAGAATCATGACTCCGTGAGTATACCTTAAAAGAATAAGATTCTCATATTAGTTGCACTATTTTAGGTTTTTGGAAAAAATATAATATGAAATATTATCGCATTGCATTTTAATACTTTTCTAGATGTTATATAAATTATCAAGTAAACAACACTTTTGTAATTTATAGCTTTTATATGAATATGATATATATTATGTTTCTATAAACTTGATTTAAGAATATTGAAACTAAATAAATAAAAATAAAAAAGAAGAAGTAATGGATATTTATAATGTAGGAGTTTTGAAAATTCTTATAGCTACAAGAAACCTGGGTATGATACTCACTAAATAGTCAGAAAATGTACTAAACTAAGAAGGAAATTTTGAAATTCAAAAATAAATTCTAAAGAAATGTGTTAGATTTTTGCATGTTTATCTTGCTTCACAGTTAGGCTCAAAAAAATATTAATCAAAGAAGTGTAAAACCCATTCAAATATATCTGAACCTCTCTTGCAAAGAGAAATGATGACTATTTATAAATGAAGAGTTCAAAAAATCCGAACACCTAATTTTGTGCGGGTAATAATTCAAAATGTATATATAAAAAATAGATAATTATAGCTTTCTGTAATAAAATTTAAAATATAAAAATATTTTAAAAAATATATTAAATTGAAAAAATATTATAGCTTTCTGTAATAAAATCCTATTTTTTTAGAAAAAAAAACCCAAATATTGTGCTTAAAAAAGAAAATAAAGGAAAGTAAAATAATGTTCATGTTTTTCCAGAAAAGTATTAATAAAAAGTTCAACAAAAAAGTATAATACAATGAACTTAAAACTAATACATACAAATGAAAAAATTTAAAATATTATGAAATAAATAACTAAAAACAAATTACTCTATTGAAAAAACGTGAAACATATCTTTCCTATAGTAACGTCCAATTGCCTATGGATTAATTTTTGTGTCTATTGGCATAATATAAATAATTTGTAAAATTTTTAGACAATATTTTAAAGAAATATCTAAAATTAATTGACTTCAATTTTTTTTGTCTTTTATTTCTCCAATAATTATAAAAAATATTAAGAATTCTAATCCCGTCAAAATCATGTATTAAAAAATAAAACACTTAAAACACTTAATTTGGTTTTTGTTTTTTTGGGTGATTAAGATCTTAATTTTCGTCAATTTTGATCAATTTGTTTATTTTTGGTAATGATATTTAAGTCATTAGCGAAAGACAAACAATGTATGTAGTGCGTCAGTTCGTAATTTTTTGTATCATTTTTTTATTTTTTCTTAATTTTAAAAAAGTTGTTCATGTGTCAAGTCAACATTATGTTGCACTATCAGTATTATATGTCAAGTTAGTGTCATGTGTCACGTCGGTGTTAGTGCCAATGTCAAGTCAATATCAGTGCCATAAGTTAGTTTCTTGTATTCAATCAGTCTCCATTTTCCCTAATTTTGTTCATTTTAGTCTTAAATTTCGTTAATTTGTTCGATTTAGTTCCAGTTTTAAATTTTACAAAGAAAATTCTTCATTATTTTTAAATTTGGAAGAAAAATTCTTCATTATTTTTAAAATTAGAAGGAAAATTCTTCATTATTTGTAAAATTATAAGAAAAATTCTTCATTATTTTTCAAATAGGAAGGAAAATTTTAATTTAATTTTAAAATTAGAAAGAAAATTCTTCATTATTTTTAAAATTAGAACGAAAATTCTTCATTATTTTTAAACTAATTCTAACCTATTTTTTACCTGTAGAAAAAATTAAAAGGAGGCCTACCCTAAGGAGAGGGAGTCCAACCCTAGGGATTCTAGGAAATAGACTGAGGTGGCTACCATGATAGAGAAGAAGCTATAGAAGGAGCAGTAGACAAACCAAATGAGCCATTTGAGGAGATTTGTTATGCTTATTATGCCCACCAAAGTGACCCTGATTGTTGCAATTACGATTGGACCCAAAATGATTGTTTGAGTGATAGTTGGAGTGTTGCTGTAAGGAGTGATCAAGGTCCTGTGGGGTCTGAAGTGTGCATGACGGTGTGAGAGGCAGTCGTTTGCATCTTGCCAAACCAGATTCCTTGAGAATCAACATAGAATGGGCCTGGAGGAAGGAAGGCAAAAGGTTTCTCTGATGGATAAGGTGGCTACACCACAAAAGAGCTCAAAATAACTAGAGACTAGCTACAATACCAAGCAA